GGTCTCAGACCCCAAAGAGATGGAGCCTGGTGGGACTCAGAAGAAAGCCAGACCCCAACAGAGGGACCTGATGGGGTTTAAACCCTAAGTGAAAGGGTCCAGAGGGGGTTGGAGAGGGATAAGACCCCAAATCGATGCTCAGGGGGTCCTAGTAGCACCCAAAGCCCCTCTCAAGAAGGACAAAGGCAGATCCCAGCCCAGGCCTTGGGCTCGGACCCAACTCAGGGTCCCAAGGGAGTGCACTCACTCACTCTCCTAAATAAACTGCCCACAAGCAAAAGCGCTTCGTTTTTCCTAATAGTTTAATTATACTTTAATGATTTATTGCTCATCTGCAAGGATTAATATTGCATTCATTAAAAATCATTCATATACAAAATAAACCTCTCCCTCCCGGCCCGACGCTGCCACCGCCATCCCCGGGCTCCCCCCCACGACATGGCTTATACAGAGATGGAGCCCTTACGCCGAGGTTCGACCCTAACGGGGATGGGAAAGGGCGGGGGGACCGTGACCCCCAAGCACAGGGGTCCCAGCATGGATCCCCCACGGAGAAGGGGAGATGCTCTCGTTCCCACCCCGGCTCACTGAGCCGGGCGTGAGTCCCCCAGGAAGGTTGAGGGATGGTGGCAGGGAACCCTGCGAGGCAGGTGATCCCCAAAATCTGCGGGGAAAGCGAGCGAGCCAGCGACAGTCCAGGAGGAGATGGGGCAGAGTGAGAAAGAGGAATAGTCACAGGAGGAGGAGACAGAGGGAAAAAGAGGAGGGTAGTCAAAGCCATGAGCATCCCTCCCCATCTTCCTCCCATCCCCACGAAGGAGCTTTGCACCCCCCGTGGAAGCAGCAGCCCCCCCAGCCCTGCAAAGCTGGGGAGGGACCCAGCCAGGCGGCACTAAAAAGGCATCCCCGGTCCACGGGACGGGGGGGCCGGAGGGCAAGAAGCAGCTGTGGTTACGGGTACCGCAGCATCCCCATTATCCATGTACCAGGAGATGCAGGCAGGGCAGGCAGCGGGGGTCCTCCTTCCCTCCGTGCTCTGGCCTTGACGGGGGGCAGAAAGAGGCAATTTGGGGAGGATTAAAAAAAAAAAAAAGCCAAGAGAAACCTCACTGGATTGCAAGGAGCTTCCCCTGTTCCAGGACAAGCTGCAAGAGATGGAAAAAGAGAAACATGTCACCAGCGAGGATGGGGAAGGGGATGAATGAGGCAACGAGAGCGGCTGAAACGCACTGCGAGAGGGCAGGGAAGGGCTGAGAAAGCCCAGCTCGAGGCCCGGAGCAGCGATGGGGAGATGAGGGCTTCGCGCGGGGGTCTGTGGTGCGGAGGGCCCAGGCTGTGTTATGGGGAAGGCTCATCTCTGCGACCATCTCAAAACAAAGCGAAACACCCCCCCAAAAAAAAACCCACCACACAAAACCCAGACACCCTTCAAACGACCCCACGCTTCTCAGTGGGAGATGGGACGCGGCGAGCGCCCAGACTCGGCCGCCAGCCGCATCCCCGACGCTTCCCCCACTTTAAAACATTTCTTTAAGCATCAAAAAGGAAAAGAGGAAAAAAAAAAACAAAACAAATTAAAAAATGGTTTTAACTCAATTAAGGTGCAGTTTGGCTAAAAAACCTAGGAGAGATGAGGATAATGCTGGGTAAGCGACCCCCGTCCGAATTCAGATTAGCACCCTGAAACAGTGAGCTCCCCCGTACCCGGCTGGCTACCAAACCTGGGCCAGCAGCCACCAAACCTGGGCCACCTCGGCATAGGGACCTTGGCCGGGCTTGGGGACAGTCACCTATTTGCGAGGTGGCCAGCAGGCGCCACTCTGCTCCCAAGCAGCGCTAGGAGCATTGATCTAGCAGCTAAAACTGGGCTCTTTAAGGCAATTTAGAAGTTGCAGATAATCCACACAAAGAAAGAAACATAAGATAAGGTAGAACAGCATCTCCGTATCTGCAGGGATCCCGGCCGAGGCTAACACAGGCTGGAAAGGTGAAAAAAACCCCAACAAACCAACCAAAAAATAAAAAACATCGCTGCAGGAATGAACTGCCCTTGGCACATCAGGAAAGGGAAACCCTCTCCAGGAGCCAGGGCTGGGAGTGACCAGCGGCTTCAGCCACATGAAAGCAAGAAGCGAATCCCAGGTTGTCTGCCAAGATCAGACAGAGATGTGATCACGTAAAAGGGTAAAACTGAGGAAAAAAAAGAGTGACCTTAAAAATCACACTGATAAATGTAAAAACAGGTTCCTCTGTTGGTTTAAAAAAAAAAAAAGGTAAACCAAAATAAAAATTATCTTTAAAAATAATCTCTCTAATGTTGCCTTGTGTGGTCTGGTCCTTCATGGGTATGGTCCATCAGTATCTAGAAGAGAAGGGAGGGGAGAGTGAGGCCATGGGTGCTTGGGGACACAGCTCCTGGGCGCTGATGCTGTCCCTGTGCAAGGAGATGCCCACAACAGCACCCACCGGGTGGGGAGACGGCAGCTCCCTGCCCTGGCCGGCACTGACCTGTAGTAATTGGGTTTGAAAGGCCCGTTTTTGTTGAGTCCCAGGTATTTCGCCTGATCATCTGTCAGTTCTGTCAGGTGGGCATCAAACGAAGGCAGATGCAAGCTGGCGACGTACTCGTCTGCGCAGGGGAAAAAGAAGGTGGGGATCAGCGGGTGCACGTCCCCCACTACACTGCCGGGAAGACGATGTATGGATTTATCATATAGCATGAAAAGGGCCAGGGCACCACGCTGGGTCTGGCTACGCAGTTCTTGCCATCTAGCACCACGGATTCACCGTCATGTAAGCCTACAGCAGGGCTGAGGCCAAGTGCTGGTGCTGAGCAGGGCTGGATGTGCACCAAAAGGCACACGGGTTGCATGAAAAACCTCAGAGCAGGAAGGCTGCAGGACAAGGGATGCCTGCCATGCTGCAGAACATTTAAGGAAAATAAACTGAACAACCTGCACCTATTTTAAGGTTGCTGCCTCTGATGGCTTGCCTGAACTCATTCCCCCTCTGGAAATTTTTCCCAGCCCAGGTTTGAGTTTCTCCTCACATCAAAACCTGCTGGCCCACAGCGGCCGGGGGGATAAGTCAGTCTGGGTGTTCCCTTCACTCACCCATCTTCTTCGGCAGCAGGTACACGTCCTGTTTGTAACGGCCCTCGGGAGCGTTGTAAAGCTCAATCAGAGCCAGAGCCTGCAGAGATCACAGGGGACAGCCCGGGGACGGTCAGGGATGGCCACCAAGCTGGGCAGCACTGAACACCCACAGTGGCACAAAGCTCTCGGCAGCAGAGATAAGGGTTTGGGAGCCTGAAGGAGGGGCCAATCATTTCCAAAATGCCTTGAAGGAAAGGCTTCCACCTAAGGGTATATCCCTCTTTGGGTATCCATAATCCCACCGCCCCTGGGGGAGGAGCAGAGAGATCAGAGATGAGGTGCCACCCAGTTTGTTTGAAGCATCTGGGCTTAACGCCCTGGGGAAAACCAGAACACAAGGATGGAGGAGAGGGGAGCAGCTCTGATTCTCTTAAACCATACAGCTTCTGCGTCACGCAGAAACGAAGGGATTGCTCGTTCTAAGCTGGCGATATCGCCCCAAAAACCACGGCCGCTCCTTCAGCAGAAATAAAACTGTATCTCGCCCAAGCGCCAGTTCATGCAGCCAAGAGCCAGGTCCAAAACACAGCCCCGGTCCCCGTCGGTTTGGGCTGACAAGTGTGAGGATAAGGAAATTCCCCCCACCGTTACCGTGGCTGTCCTCCCCACCATCGCAGTCCCCAGCCATCAGTCCCCTCCATGTTTCTTCCATCACTCTCCGACCGAGGGCTGCGCCGGCCTCGGCTGCTCGCACAGCCAGCACCGACTGCAGATCTCAGAGCGGAGCCAAATTTAATCATCGTTCTCTTCGGAAAGGCAGAGTCACGACAAACAGTGCAAGACTCAAGCCGTGTCCGCCCAGCGGAGCCAGCACTGATGCTGGGGAGCATTTTAACCACTGACCTCTAGATCCCCAAAACTCACCCTGGGGGTTTTTTTTGTGCTGTAGAAAACAGAGGCCAAAGACAAAACAAAGCCTTGCTTTGAGGCAAGCTTAAACCTGTGCTATGGGAGCTCCAGGGGCTTATAGCACAGCAGGAGCTCTGCCATGAAGCCTGGCTCATTTAAAAAGCTCTTTCCCAGCTGTGACCAAAGCAGTAAGTTCACGCCATCATTAACTGCATCCCAGCCGAGAGGTGGTGGCTACGGTACCTCCGGCACCAGGGCCATCCCAAGGACCCATCCAACTGCACATTCCCAGCTTCTCCCAACCGTCCGCACCCCGAGGCTCGTGCAAGGCCTCAGAGCATCCTCCACCCCTCGCACGCCGGCCCTGCAGCATACGGACCTGAGTGGTGGCCGTGATGGAGAGAACAAAGGTGGGAACCGTGGAGCAGCTCAGGTTGAGAAGACGGCCCTAGGAGACAGCAGGAGGAGTTTGCAGAGCTGAACTTGCCCCCAGAGCCAAACAGAATTGAGTCTCCAGAGAAGATTCACCTTGACCCCCTCCCTGGGGCGGGGGGCAACCACAGCACAGTGATTCAAGGGCCACCTATGTGACCAGTTTCCACTCTAGCCCTTAGCTTTAAGGCAGGGAAGTTTTGTGGTTGCTAGAAAGAGCCAGTGCCTCCTACTGCCAGGAGAGCTCAGGTGGGAAGAGGAGACACCCAGGCGGTTTGCTGCACGGGAAACCCTGCCAAAGCCAGAAGCAGACAGCGTTTGGCTAATAGGGGTGGCTCCCGGCTCGAAAGAACGGAGCCAGATGACACCTCTGTGGCTGCATGTGGTACATGATACTTCCCCAGTCTCAAGAAAAGGGGAAAAAAATAAAAATTTAACCAAGAAACACTTTCTTGAGCTCTGAACCTCCTCCTAGCACCTTTCCACCTGGTTAAACCTCCGTTACAAACTCTGGCACGCAGTGATTTCCTGACAGAGGCCCAAAGCAAGGTTGTGGCACGGCGCTCAGCACACCTCGGCCAGCAGCACCACCCGCTTCCCATCCGGCCAGATGACGTGGTCCACTTGGGAGCGGACCCGCTCCCAGGTCAGCTCCGGGGTCCGGAGGCTTGTCTGCAAGAGCAGGAGGAAGAGGCTGGAGTCATCACAAGAGGATGGCGGGGCGTTCGCAGCCGTCGAGGCCGCAGGCGGACTCACCACATCGATCTCGGTGTTGGAGTGGCCCATGTTGCACACGATGCAGCTGTTCTTCATCCGATCCAGGTGTTCTCTGGTCACGACGTTCTTGTTTCCTGCAGGCAGAGGGGGCACAGATGAACCCAAGGCAGTGGAAATATAAATCCCCTGATTTCTCCTTCCCTGCACTCGAGTCAGAGAAGCTCAGCTTGGGGCAACATCAAATGAACTCACACCAGCACAAGTGCCCTCCTGGCTGTGACAACAGAGAAACACATGGGATGCGTGTTGATTTTTGGTCCCATGAATTAACCAGGCTCTAGGAGACCCCAAAATACTCCTGGGACACATGCCTGTGATGTCCCTCCTCCCAGGGGCTGAGGAGGACTGTGACCAAATAGCAGACTGGGGGAGTAGGATGACAAGCTCTTGCCGGAGCACAGCTACTGCTCTCGGAAAATTAGCAGCGCATGGCAGCGAAGTGCCCTCCATTCCCAGCTCCCCCAGAGCCCTTGGGACACCCGCGCGGGAATGACTGCTCCTTCTTAGCCTGCTCCAAGGCTCACCCACAACCTTCTCCATCCCTACCTGTGCAGGTGATGACAACATCCACCTGACGGATTACTTCGCTCAGCTTCACCACCCGAAATCCATCCATGCTGGCAAAAAAAGGGGGAGAGGGACCACGATGAGGAAGAGAAGCCCTTTCCCTCTCTGCCCCAGGGCAGGAGGGACCTCAGCGCTGTACTGCTGCAGCAGCTCCAAACTGCCCACACAGCAGCCAGGCCATCCTTCCACACCCCCAGGGATGCCAGATGCATGAGGAAGGGCTGTGCAAAGGATGCGGCGTCAGACCTGCTCTCACAGATGTTGGAGGAGCCAGGGAACGTGTGGAGCATTCAGCCAGCCCTGCACGAACCCTTCCCAAGCCAGTCAAAGCCAGTGCCTGGTACCCCACCACTGAGCCAGCCCTGAAAGCTGCCCTAGCCCTTCCCCATCACACCGCAGCAAGACGTATATTCTCTGAGACGAGCCACAGACCCTCCTGGCTCTGTTTCAGCCTCCGTCAGAGTTTAAAGGAGGCCAGAGAGCAGATGAAGAGATGCTCACAAGCAGCATGTAACGTCTTACCAAGCCTGGAGAGCGCAGATGGGGTCAATCTCCGTGACGTAGACGATTGCTCCCAGGGCTTTCAGAGCAGCACAGCATCCCTTGCCGACCTGCCGAGGCAAAGCGTCAGTGCGAAGCCCAACACAGGACACACCCAGCACTACAATCCCTTCCCTAAAACAGCCTGAGCGCGTCCCAGGCTGGGAGACGCTCGTGCCCACTGTCTGCCTGATGTCAGGAGCAGCTCAGCGATGTACCTGGCGAGTGGCACTTCTGCTGCAAGCCCAGCTCCCCCTCCAAGGCCACCGACCCCCAGCACGGCCACCAGCTGGCAGGAGCTTCCCAAAACCAACACGCTCGCAGCCTGCGCAGCCCCCAGCATTGCAGGAGCCCTTCTGAGCTCTCCTCCAAGAGGAGATTAAAGCCAGTCCGGACGAGCACGCACTTCCCCCACTTGCCCTTAAGCCAAAGGGTTTCTTTGGCGTTCAGAGCTGTCCTGCACTGATCAGGGGACAGATCCTCCATCCCATGCTCCCATATCAGCACAGGGGAGAGCAGAGCTCCTTAACAGCACTTCTGACTCGATTCCTCTCCTCACTACAAAATTAAGCTGAAGTCTGGCTCTCCACGCCACTTACCCACACTAACACCTGGCTAATCCGCACATACCCATGCTCAACCCTGTTTTCTGACCAGCAAGATGCCACCAGGCACCAAAAAATCTCCAGAGACACCCTCACTTATCACCCAGCTCCGACCTCAGGTCTACTGAAAACAGCCAGGCAGGGCAAACTGGGACTCCAACCCATATCCAAAGGGGAAACCAGTGAGGATGGAAGGACTCCCTTGTTTTGAAGAAGTCCATCAAATCTCAGGACAGGCCTTGGAGGCTACAGCTCCCAGCACAACTCATGACTGAAAAATCAGACGCCAGGACAAGAGCCAGCGCAGCCTCTTGGTCGAGCAGAGCTGGGCTCCGCTGGTGTCTAAATAAATTAGTAAGCATGTTCCTGCCGGGAAGAGCATTTGCACCTACTGCCAGGCTCTTCGCAGCGCGGGAAGATAAACACCCAGGCGGACAGCGCACAGATGGAGGGAAGGTGTCAGCTCCCAGCTCCGTGCTCTTCCAGGGCAGGATCGTTTACAAGTTCACAATACGATTCCCCTCTGTCAGAACATTATCCACCAGCAAGATGCAGCCTGCCCCTCAGCCTCCTCTGTCCCAGGCTTGGTGACAGCCAGGCTGGATGCTGAATTCGGTCCAGCGATAGCAGATGGGAGCACCCATGGGTAGTTATAATTCAGGCCAGTGTTCCCAGCAACTGTCGTATTTGCAGCCCAGCTAATCTGCAGGCAAACTGGAAAATCTGATGCTCCAGCCCCCCAGCAGGTTCTAGCAAGATCTCCCTGGTAATCGCTCACCAGGTTTGATCCACTCCTATATCAAGGGCAAGTCTTTGCACAGGGAAGAAGCAGGATGCTGAGCTCAGGGGAAGGATGGCTCGGGGGGAGGCTGACTCACAGCTCCGCCGACTGCCGCTTACGAAACTCACCTCCCCATAACCACAAACCACCACTTGCTTCCCTCCAAACATCACATCCGTGGTCCTCTTCAGGCTGGGGGACAGAGAGAGACCTGTGTTGGGATTAGTCAAGCGCACACCGCTGACGGCACAGCGCAGCGCTCCGCTGCGAGCCCCCAAAACCAGGTCCTGCAAGCACACAGCAAGGGCAAAGCAGCAAAGAGCCCGATCTCTGCTCAAGAGGAGCCAGAGCCAAATCCACGGGTGTGAGAGTGACAATGCGGATGGGGAGAAGGGTTGGACTCACCCATCCAGGATGGATTCCCGGCAGCAATATAGGTTATCAAATTTCTGCTTGGTGACGGAGTCGTTCACATTCATGGCTGGGACACACAGCTTCCCGGCCTTGGAGAGCTGGTACAGCCTGGAAGAGGACAGAGGCAGGTCAGAGCAGAGAGTGGCAACCCAATAACAGATCTCCAGATCAGCCTTCCCAAACCTCCTACCTGTGCACACCGGTCACGCTCTCCTCCACAATCCCTCGGATCTTCTTGAATACGTTGGGGTATTTCTTATAAACCCAATGGGTCAGGTCCCCACCGTCATCCAGGATCTAGAGAACAGGCAAGGAAGAGCATGGAGCAGTCAGGCCTTCCACCAGGAAAAGCACTCGCTGGGGACAGGACAGGGAAAAAGAGATGGAGAGCATCTTCAGGCGCTGATGGCGGGCTGTTTGGGCAGAGGCCTGGGGGCCAGGGCTCCTGGGGTTCCCCTAGATGCCAGCAACTCGAGGTCTCCTCCAAAACAGAGGATTTCTTACCCCCTGCACGGAGCTGACAGATCCTGACAGGGTTTTCTGTCCCTGCTGTTGCTCTGCAGCCTGGAAACGTGACCCCAGGCAGCACTAACTAAACAGGCTGAGATCAGAAGGACGCCACAACATTCATGCCCTGAAAGCAAAGAGTCAAGAGGAAAGGCTGCGGGAGTTGTCACAGCCCACTGACGGATGCTTTTGCATCATTAGTGATCACGGACCATACACAAAGGTAGTGAGAGTCGTCATCTGCTGCCAGCAAGGGAAAGGTCCCCTGCAGAGACCCCTCTCTCTTTGGGAGAGGGTGGATGGGATCTGTGCCAAGAGAGGAGCGGCTGGGGCAGCTCCCGTAGGGCTGACCCTGGAGGGAAAGACGTCCTGTGGTTTCTCGACTCGTTGGCAGCTCCAGCAGGAGATGCTCCCATGCCATCGGGCCGTACCAACTTGGGACACCACCTCTGCAGACCCCACAACACCCAACAGTAGCCCCCAACCCAGCTCCAGCTGCCATTCTCCAGCACCCCCACTCTAATGGGGACTCAGAGGCCTTTGCAACACCAGCAGATGCCCAGGCAGCCCCATCAGGCTCCCAGGAGGAGCCCCAGGGAGGGAAGGGTGAGGAGCACCCCGTGACCACTCCACAGAGGAAGAGGAAGGGCTGGAAGAAGGCTCATTACCATGTTGGCCTGCCAGCCATCTACGTTAACACAGCGGTCAATGCACCACCAGAAGTCATCCTCCGACTCCCCCTTCCAGGCAAACACGGCAACACCTAGAAGAAGAGGAGCATCCTTGGCATCTGCTGAGTTTGGCAGAGCTCTCTCCTGCTTGGCCAATTCAGGAAAGCCACGGACAGGAGGGCCAAGGGGCCATACAGAGATCAAACCACAGCCCACAACAGGATCAGACCTGTTATCCCTCCCTAAAGGCTACGTGGTCCAAACCATTCCTTAAACCGGCCGGCCAGGACAAAGCTACAGAGCCAGGAGGGGCTGGAAGGGCTCTGCATCTCCAGGCTCAGCTGTACTCACCAGCTTCTGCCAAGGCAGCCGCCACTTCATTCTGGGTGGAATAGATGTTACAGGCAGACCAGCGGCACTGCGCTCCCAGCGCACACAGCGTCTCGATCAGCACCTGCGAGAGAGCGGGGTGAGCGGCAGGCCCGGGGGAGCGGTGATGGGCACAAGCACACCAGCGCAGCGTCCTGAGCACAGCCTTGTGCAACGCGCAGCGAGGAACCGAGCAGAGATCGGCTCCAGCAAACACTGCCGTGGGCAAACGTGGGCAGCAGAACTTTTCCAAGATGCTTCCAGAAAAGTGAAGGTACCTCCTCCAATTGCCCAAGGCTGGGAAACTTAAGAGACTTTCTTCCCTGGGGTAAAACAGGTTTCTCCCACTCCAGAAAGCCCAAACAGGCAGCCACTCACCGCAGTCTGTGCTGTAATGTGGGTACAGCCCACAATTTTCGCTCCAGCCAAAGGTTTCTCCCCTTGAGCTCGTTTCCTGAGTGAAATCAGAGCGGACATGTCTGTAAAAGGAACAGAGGGGTTTTACTGATGGCTTAGTCTAGAGAGGTCCCTCTCTGCCAGATCTGCTCTCCTTCCTGAGGTCTCACAGGCTACATCCAGCCCCACAGTTTTTGCTACAGTCGTTACACAGCCATGGAGAGAACTCCTCATCTCTGGCCTGGCAGGTGTGTCCAAAATGGGATCAGAACACCAGTGTTATTTGCCACTTGACAAAGCCACCCAGGACACGGTGTCCTTCCGACCACGTAACAAGAGAGGTCTGGCACCGGCACTGCCCAAGGCAGGCATCTGGTGTGCCCCAGCTAAGGACAGCCACCAGCCCTCCAGCAGAAGAGCATCAAGGAGAAGCACCTAAAGAAGATGAAAACAGTGCTGCCACATCTCAGAAGAGCTGCTCTAAATGTGCCTGGATTATCTTCCCTTTCTAAGGCTTTGGCAACATGCGTGTAAGAGGAGCCCGAAAGCAAAGTTACCCAATCACCCCACTGGAAATGGTAACTCAGCTTCCCACAAGCCCCAGGGGAAGGGGTTGGGACTGTCCATTTTCATGTCTCCAAAGGTGTTGCAAGATCCTTGCCCACTGAGGTTTCTCATCCAAAGCCACCAGAACATTAAACCCTACAAGAACCCTGCTGTCATTAGAAAATGAATGCCACACATCATCGATGTTTGCTGTCACGTCTAGCTCTTCCCCACTTGATCTGGTGATTCGGGGGGGGATGTCTATCCGAGGCTGTAGCATGAGTTGTGGGAATTGCCACGGCGCAGCTCTCGGTCTCCGGAGAGCACGGCACCCGGCCGCAAGCCCCACGAACCCCACGCTCCACTTTTACCTTGTTCAGCAATCTCGATCTCCCGGCGCCCAAACTCTGCCTGCTTGATGTTCTTCACACAGAAATTGCTGCTGCCTTTGGAGTTGGTTTGTTGTTTCTCGCGGGGGGACACCTCGTCATCAGAGCTGTCCGTGTAGGAGGCAGCTAAAGCCAGGAGAGGAATCCCTGTTACCCCAGGACCTCCTACCCTTCAGGTTTCTGCTCCGTTTCGCTTTCCAGCTTTCACACACATAAAAGCCACTGTCCAGAAGGAATTTTGCACTCTTGCTCCCTAAAAAAACCCAGAACTAACCAACTGGTAATCAATGCCTGAGTTTCAGGAACCCCCAGAATTATCCCCTCCGCATCCGAGTACACCACAGCAGCATGGAGCATCCCGACATGCACTGTGAGCAGCACGTTCACAGCAGCACCAACGCCAGATTCGGGAGAAGACCAGACATGGACAAGGACCCCAGCACCTACCGGAGCTGTAGCTGTCGGTGGAAGACTGCGAGATGGAGCGGGACAAGGACCGACGGCCAGTCTTGGTTGGGAACTTGGTGAACTCCTGCATATCATCTGCAAATTGGATTTGCTGAAAGTGCAAAGAAAGAAGTGCTAAATCACCAGGTGCTCCTTATGGCACATCATCTTTCCAGGCTATAGCGGCCCGTGGCTTCCTTCAGTCCACCTTGACTGCTGTAGGCCCAGAAATAAGCACCACCAAATGCATCAAGGAAGAGATCTGTGGCTACAGATGGCAAAAATTGAACCCTCTCCTCTGCCTGATCATCTCTGTCACCAGAAGGTTAAAGCAGATTTTATGCCTAACACCTGAAGATAAAAAAATAAAACCTAGTGAGGCTTGAAACATCCCCTTTAGCCCATTGCTGGCTCCATGAGGCTCCTCCAAGGCAGTCAGGCTGCTCGTACAATACAAATACCACGTAGCCCTCCAGACAAGCCCTGTGCAGGCAGAGCCCCTGCTCCAAACCCAACCCATCCTGACCGATTTCTGCCCAAAAGTACAGCAGCAAGAAAGCTGGGGTCGTCCCAGCAGAAACTCAGATCCCTGGTGCTTCCAAGGCTCTTCCCCAGGAGCAGAGCATCCCACGGGTTAAAAACATGGCACATCCTTCCAACATCGACACTAAAAGCAGGAAGAAAAAACAACTCAGCAAGAGAGAACATTTCAACAAAAAGTAGTTGACATTGCATTGCCTTTCGGTCTCCTCTGCATTACAGATGTTTCCATTGTAAGAGAAGCCCTACAACAGCCACCCCGCCTTCCTCTCTCGGCCAGAGGCAACTCAGGGCTCCGGCACCTACCACCAGCTCATCAAATTCAACTGTGTTGGGCCAAAAGGAAGGGAAAAATTCAAGTGTGTTGGGCCAAAAGGAAGGGAAAAATAGCCCCGAACCGCTCAGCTGCTGTACTCATCCCGTCTGACCGGCCAGCAAAAAGCCTTATTGCTGCTTCTGCGAGAGAGACACAATGGAGATGAAAGGGAATTAGGAAAAGTGCCAGCGAATCCAGGCTGATGCCCCCCTTCCCCGGCACGCTGCCACGCAAGGGACCCTGACAAAGAGCCCCAGCACGGCCTCTCCCCTCCGATTGCATCGCTGCAGGATTTAATTTTGCCACTTAACAGGGATGAGACGTCATTGCAGGGAGGGGGATTAACAAAGCATCCCCACAGACCCAGGAGACCGCGAGAAGAGTCCTGAAGAAATCAAGTTGATGGAAAGAGACAGGCCACAGTGGCCTCAAGGAGGGGTTTTCCATGCCGCAACGATCCCAAAAGCTCCCCAAAAGCTTTGATGCGGGAAACAGCCTTCAAGGGGAGAAGAATGAGACTGCTTAGTTGAGATGTTCCATCCCAGAAAGGAGGAATCTGCATCGTCTGGGGTGTCTGCAGCGCTAGCACGGCTATTTGGGCTGATAAAATGGAGCCACGGTTCCTGGAGAAACCCAGCTAATGGGCCAAAAGCAGCATTGGTATTCTGCTCAGGAGGGGAAACAGGGACATGAAACCCACTGCTCAGTCCGAGGAGGACACGTGGGGTGATGTGGGGTGATAGCGGTGACTCCAGCATCCCCTCCAGGAACAGACTAGCACCAGATCAATTCCGTCATCACATCTAGGCAAGCATCCCGAGCATTTCTGTGGGTGCTGCTGCTAAAAGGTTTTTTTACTCAGCTCCTCCGTACTGGATACACAGCCTGGTATCTGCTGACCAGACCAGACCTCCCAGCAGACGCCAGTGTGATTCTGATGCAAATTGCACGAATTTGCATTAGTGGAAGGAATGGAGTTTGCAGGTTTGGTTTTGCATCTGGTTTGGGTCGTTTGGTGCAGAGGGAGGAACCGGAGGGCATCACAACCCACCGCACCGCTGGGAGAGCTGGTACCAAGAGATAAGAGATAGAGGCACTTCTAGCAAGCAACACCAGGCAGGTAACAGCAGTGTCCTCGGGTCAAGGGGCCGGAGCTGGCAGGCACAGCAGTTTCCCAACCAAGGAACGATATTGCTGGAATTTGTTCGAGGTCCGTTGCTTGGATCGATCTTCCCCGGACAGCCTGAGAAAGGCTTGTGCCACCTCCATGCTGGCGTGGTGCTCATAGGCATTTCCAGGGGAGGTGGGGGGAAAGATCAGCAATTTCAGAACAGCAAGATTTCCACCCCTTCGCACCCACCTCTTCCTCTGGCAACTCAAACCAGAGAGTGTAAACACACCCCATAAAACAGCTGCTGGCATTAAAACAGCTTAAAGTGTTAGCTGAGGAATTTTCTCCACCTCAGGAAAAGGTTTCCAGGCAAAAGGTGAACCCAGGAGGGAAAAAAACAGATAACCCAGGCTTTGCTGCTCCGGCCCAGGGCACAGGTGGGTGCCTGTCCTTGCTTACAGCACCCAGGACATGGGAACCCCGGGCCAGGGCACTTCCCTGCAGTGAAAGGTGCTGCCTCGGGGAGCAAAGCTCGTTTGGGATGCGATGGGAAGGAGAGGGTGGGGATGGAGGGCTGCTGCGCTCCCCAGCTCCAAGCCATCCCCGCGCCACCAGGACAAGCGAGATCTACCAGACAGCATCATCCCCTTCGGGGGACCGGCCGCAGGGGTCAAGCCAGCTCCAAGGCACAGTCCCACTTTTTAGGAGAAACAGCAGTTCTAGAAATACGAGGTTTGAATCCAAGGGGAAAAAGAAAATCACCATTAAAGGAACCAAGTGCTGAATTAACCACAGTAATCCCCCGCCGTGGCTTTACCAGAGCTCATCTGAACTCCGCAGCTTAGCAAAATCTGCCCTGTCTAAAATTATCATCAAACATTGCAATCAGCTTCCGAATCAAATGAACCGTTTGCACATCAAACCCCCTCCAAGCCCCGCAAATTAATGCGGCGTCCGGCAACCAACCGAGAGGAAGATGAGGGAGGACGGCGGGTGCCGCGGCCAGGCAGAGCGACCGAGCCGACTGGTGACGTGCGTGACTGTTGGCCGCATTACCTTCCACGTGCCGGGCTCTCTAGCTGCATTAAGGCGACGGAGAAAATCTCGTAATCCCTCAGCTTGTCATGGGAATTTGAATGAATGGCATCCCCGGCCGGGGGCTGCAGATGAGCTGGCTGCGGCTGACCGAAGCCGGGCTATGGTGAGAGGGGACCGGGATCGGGACCGTCCGGCTGCGGAGAGCGAATCACATCCCAAACTCCATCCTGCTGGAAGCGCCTTTTCCAACCGGGTGGAGCACCAGGGTTTGAGAGTAAGGAAAATATTTTTTCGTCCCAGCAATTCATGACCAAGGAGGCAAAACAAGAGAGCGCTGATTCCTCCGCAGAGAAACACAGCCGGGGTGTTTGCTGGCGTCGCTGCGCCCTTACAGGAGGAGGCAGGGCTGGGGTCCTGATGGAGCCCTGTGCCAAACGAGCAGCTCCTTGCTTGGTACAGCAGGGGCTTTTTGGGGAGATGCCCTGTAGGAAAACAGCAGGATCCGACAACTCCTGCCAAGTTTTCGCAAAGCATCGCTGAACGCTGCCTGCTCCCAGCCACACCTGCCAAGCCAGAAATACATTTTCTCCTCTTGCGAAACCTGGCGTGACCATGCCCATTCCCACGCGGATCTGACTCTTCCCAACAACGGCCGCTCCTTTTCGGCTCAAACCACCCCTCCAGGCTCTGGGTCTGGCCAGGCAGGAGGTGAGGGAGCGTCATCCTCACTGCTACAGCACCGCATCCCAAAAAAGGGTCAAAAGAGGTACCAGGGACCCCCGGGCCCTCCCAAGGCAAACACTGGCCACCTTGTTTGACTGCACTGCCCGGCGCATCCCAAAACCACCGTGAAGCTAAACAGTCAGCTCCAACAAGCTTCTCCCTACGTTATAAGGTACCTGCCCATCCGTGGGCACATCAGCCGGGCAGTCCCCAACCCAGCAGCACACATGCCCCCAGCACATACAGCCTTGTTTGTTTAATTATTGCAACAGAAGAAGGGCAAACAGATTCCAGATCTGGACTGCTACCATCGAAACGAACCGGCAGCTCTTGACGGCTGGGTGTGCCATCCTCAGCGGTTTATCCTGCCTTTTTCCCCAGCAGTCAGGCTACAGAGCAGCTTTTTGAGCTTACAGAGTAAGAGAAGCTCCACGTCCCCCACCTCCGAGCTCCAGAGGACTTTGTCGATCCAGCGGGATTTACCTCGGGCACAGACGAGCCAGGCATGTCCCTCTCACACAAGGCAACCCCACTTTTAATTTTAAAACTCTTTCCATCCCCAGAACAGCTCCAGAGAGGGTGCTCAAGCTCCTTCACAGTGCTACGCATCCCTGACGGCATCCCGCACAGCCTCAGGGGACAGCGGCGGAGCAGGTTGCGGAAGCAGGACAATTTGGAAAGCATCCACCAACTCACAGCCATCCCCGGGGCTGCACACTGACCCTGTTCACTGAGGTGCAGGCTCCACAGGAGAAAGGACACGTGCCAGGGGAGCGGCTCCAGGCTCCCATCTTACCACCACCAGGTTTGCCTTAGCAACCCTTTTTTTGTTATTTTTCATTAGGGACAACGTGAGCGACGGCACATCCACGCTGGTCTAAAGAAAGCGCCCTTCCAGCCACTTCTGTCCTGGAGTAACCCAGCGGGGACAAGAGCAGGCTCTGCACTTTGCCCAAGATGGGAAGGAAGCAGTGAACCACCTAAAACCCTCCAGCCTCCTAAGATTCCTCCACCATGTCTGTGGACATGACAACACAGTGCAGTTGCCTGGGGAGAAACAGCAAAATCAGAGCAGAGCATGTTCTCGCAGCAGCACAACTGCCCGGAAAGCAAAAGCGTCTCTGTAACCCACTTCTGCCCTCCCAGGAGAAAGCCTGAATGGATCCAGAGTCCTGGGACCTTCCCTTTGACTGCAGGAAGCCAGCAGCAGAGCTCAGGACTATTCAGGGCAGCCAGTTCCCCTTATTTAATCTCCTCCTCCCAACAAAAAAAAATCTCTGGCAGAGGCTGGGAGGGCACTGCCGGTTGCCCACGCTGCTAAGGCAGCCCTGACGTGCCCTGTCTTTTAAGTTCATCATTTCTTTGTCATTCCTGGAAATTC